TTAGTAAAGGTAAAGGCTTTTTGAGGAATCAGTATGAATACTGTTCATTTGTGTTTTTTAATCAATATTATAATTTATTCTCAAAGTAACATGGTACATACAATTTACAGGTATTATATATATTTTTTTATCCGCTACATGGTACACCGAAACAGGCAAACAGAAGTTTTATAACATAAAATTTATGATCAGCAATTTACATTTCAAAATCTTAAATTGCGTCAAGTATTAAAGTAACGTTGCGTAGGGTTCCAATTACAAAATACTACACTAAAAATAATTATTTCTAATGTCATTATTAAATTTTTAAATTTCAATTTAAAAAAGAATCTTATGTCCGGTTCGAATGTAGGTTCTTAGGTCAAAATATTCTTTAATTGAGTAGAAGCACTTATCCACTAACTATTTTTTCAGCTTTTTTGTGAATAAAGTTGTTTGCAACTCTCGAATGTCTTTTGATATGGTTATATATAAGCTATGACATAACAATACAGTTTTTTCTACTTATCGTACTTCTACAATTCGGAATTAAATTTTTTGTTGGATCTACTGTGTGTAAACTACTAAATTCACTAGAATGTGCAAATAAATGGGGATGTATTTTTTAAAAATCAGCATACCGCCTACATATATAAAGAGGTTAATGTTAATAAGTGACGCTCTTTAAATAAAGGTCTGCAACTATCAAATGGTCTCGCGCACCACACAGACTTACAATACACTTTTTTGGGCTTTAAAGCCTTACTTAGGAGGCATGAGCTTCCCCATAAAATAAGACTAAACTTAAGAATGGAAACTACATAGCTGTGATACGCTAATAGAGCAGCATCTTCTCTAGCAGTACTTGTTATTCGTTTCAGAGCATATACGAATCGATTATTTTTTTTACACAAAATTTCTATGTGGCTTTTCTAATTTTAATTTGAGTCGAATCTCAACCCTAAGACGGAAGTTTCTGAGGCTTGTTTTATATCCTCCCCTTCAATTCAATTGCGGCAGCCTCGAATTATAGAATAGAAATTGAATAAACTTGGTTTTTGATAGATTTGCACGCAGTTTATTAGAATCTAGCCATAGCATTAGATCATTTACACATGAGTTCAATGTAATATAGGTATTATCACTATTTTTATCTGCTGGTATAATAACACAGATATCGTCGGCAAGTAAAATATATTGATGATTATTATTTATTTGAGCTTAAATCATTATGGCAGTTTAACAAATTTAATAATTATTAATACAACATTCTGTCTTTTTAATACAACTATGAACTATGACAATAAGTGGCGGCGTGGTGTGAGAAACTACTTGTATAAACGTAAATCTGCATTTACGGAATTTCGTAATTCTCCTTCAGTAGCATTTAAACCAGCCAGTATAGACAGCGATGATCTGGCCCGCTGCAGATGGATTTCCGTGTCATTATACAGAACGCTCTGCGCGCGCTGCAGCCGGCCGGCGCGTGCGCCGATCGCATCGGGCCAAGCCGGTGACGCCAGCCATTGTCCTAACACTTCAGCTGATTGATAAATTCCATGTTTAAATGTATTTTCAATTCTGAAATAACTGTAAACATGTCATGTCCAGTCTATAATGAATGCAGATCAAAGTTTATTCCATAGCAGACTGTAATGAACAAACTGAGTGTCGCATCGTGGCGGTGACGATGCCAGGCATTGTCCGACTCTGTCGAGTCGGGCCTTGAGTTGATTGATAAAGTCCATGTTATAATGTATCTATTTCATTTTTATTTCTTATATTTAGTTAATCTTCTTAAATAACTGTTAATAAGAGTTTACATATTCAAATTCACTCCACAGTCTGTAATGAACAAGCCAAGTCTTATGAGGGGTATGGTGTCCTTAGTATTTCCAATTATACCAATTTTGGAACGGATTGGAGTCGACTGACTTGAATGAGGGAAAGAAAATAGCTGCATGATTTGTATATCTACGTTTAATCTTTTGTAACATAATACAGTAAATTTCTTACGTAAATACTAAGTTACATGAATTTATTGCATTTTCTGCAATCGAAATAACTAACCAGCTTAATAAGCTCTTATTTCACTGTACCGGATATGCGTACTGTAAGCCTATTGTGGCACGTGTTCGCCCCAGTTTTACGGTTGTTCGCTTATTATATCTTATTTGCCTTAACTACTAACAAATTTATCTTTTCCTTACAACTGCCTATCGATCTTTGTCAAATTATATAAGTCAAAATATACTGCTCCATTGTTAATCTTTCTAGATAATACTCGGTTCGTTAATTTAATACGTTTATTGTCTACAAACATCATTGTTTACTAATGTAATGTATATATGATGAATGAGAATTTGATTGTAGGGACTATGACGAAATAGATCTAGTTAAGTTTAATATGGCCTCTCTAATGACTTACTAAGATTTAAAGACACTAACCTTCGTCAGGAAAAAGAATGTGCCAAATTGACGAAGTTACTGACCGGAAATTTAAAAGAAACCATTTTGATTTAACAAAACTTAACATTTACCTACTCTGTTTTATTTACTTAAAATAAAATTTTGGAATCTATCGATGATTTATAGATATTTTTTTTATTAAAATTAATTTTTATTTTTATTAAATTTTACAATTCTGCAAAGGGTTATTTTCGGGTTTGTGACATATTCCTTAAATAAAAATGCGATCATGGTTCTATGGAAAATGTGAAATATGAATCAAATGATGTTAATAAACTTGCAAAGTTATCGATATATTGCAATCTGGCAATGGCGAGCTAAAATTTGGGCGAATCCTTAAGTTAACTAAACAAGCGTTTTTATCGCTCAAGTTAGGCCATGCTGAGCAAGTGCATACCGGTTGTGCGGAATAATTTCCCAATTGCGCGCGGCTTTATAATTGTCATTGTGCAATGCAAATCACGAGTGAGCCAGATTCAGTCGAGCTGCGTTACCCGGAGTCACGTTGTCGTGATATGTAGCTCTTATCGATTATAACTGTGCCTTAATTCATTATTGTTCTACTGAGATTAGGCAATTTAATTGTCGGATACTCAGTCACCTTGCACCGCGAGCGGTGCGTCGACAAGTTACGAAATACCCCTGCAAATTATTTGATAAATAGTTCAAGTTTCATGAGTTATTTCACTGTCATATTTTTTTTTATATTTTTTTACTGGTAGACGATATTTTGAACTTTTAAATAAAATAAACTAAAATCAAATAATCAATACAAGGATTCGCCTAATGGAACTAACGGTGTGCAATTATATTGCTAATCATTGCTCATCTTGTGTGGATAATTTTCGTGAAGCTAATAAAGGTGGGCCAAGCTCAGCAGAGCATGTCACGAACAAGGCCACAGAAATGGTTTCACCTGTTTCTGTTGAGTGTTATTTTTTTATCGCGATCATAATTCGAGTCGGCAAGTGTGATAGTGAAAGTGACAATGTTACGTCGTCGTCATATGACGTGACTTTAACGAGTGCAAATAACCCTACCGAATTCGGTGTAACGAGAAGTAATGAGTTCGGAGTTTTCCAAATGGTAATAATTGAGGTTTACCATAAAATTGGCTGTACAGATATCAATGTGTTAATGGCCAATCAAATAGGTTGTGTCAGTCACCCAATTAACTGGTTAAAGGTGATCTCAAAAGTGTTGTAACACACGTAATGGAGTTTCGTTATAACGAGGATGCAATTATTATCGAAATAACAACGATTATATACGATTTATTTAATTTGAGTAGATGCCGATGGTGTATTTTAGAGAATATATAATCTACATATAAAACTCATTAGATATAAAAAATATATTATTGATTTTATCATTGAGATATGTTTAAAATAAAATATAAAGCGAATACTATTAAACTCACCTAAAAGAGTTTTTAATCAACAAGCGGCATACAGATATTTGCTTTTTTATAGTTAACTGCGTTAACTCCGCTAATTTTACAGATTTCACAATATTTGATTTACCGTTTTCTACAATATAAGCGAACAATGCTATTTTACAGCCAAATCGGTCTGTGCATTAACGGATTTAATTAGAATCGTTTGCACAACGTGGGTACCGACTAAGTTTTTAAATAAAACTTAGTCGGTCGGTAAGTTAACATTAAAGGAGCATTGATACGTTAGAAATTTAGTATCTAATATCTAAGGTACACTTTCAGCAATTTTGATATTCTCAACTTAATTAGATTTAGCCCATACATAATGCCAAATTGACACTGAAGTTTTGACATTTTTGTATGGGTTAAAGCTTGTTTTAGTTGAATCGAGATTTGCTGCAAGTGGACCTATGGATGCCGAGATAACTTATAAATACTGTTGCTTATGGTGATGTTAATTAAAATACCCGTTAGGTATGTTATTGATTTGTTTCTTTTCCGATGACTGAATGGCTGTATGCATGCGTTTCCTTTAACTTGTCGATCGTATTCAGAAAATAAATACTTGATTTCATGAGCTTCAATATGACATCATATTTTAATTACTGCATAGAATTAAAGCGTAAAGTAAAAATTTTAACAGATTTACTAATGACGAAGCAATGCCGGAACAATCACTTTTTTTCTGTCAATGTGTAAGAAAAATACATTGGGACCTTTGGAGCGAGTTCGATAGATCAAATTATTGACATTGAAAATTTTTATGCGTTACGCTATTACACGGCTTTATGTCACAATGCCAGATGTTAAAGCGTTGAAGCACCCAGTAATACTCAGATTAATGAATATAATTAATATGAGCACTGGTAGATATTTGACAATTGTCAAAATCCTGAATCAATGAGATCTTAAGTGAGATTATATCTTACAGAATAGACATGGTGGTCCTTAATCGACCACCAGTGCGATCGCAAAATTGCAAAGTGAATTGTGGCAATCGGATGAGGGAGAGTGGTCGATTGTTGTAATGTCTAGGCTCAATAGATCCCAACGGGTTGACGTAAGTTCAAGAAGTATCTCATGGCTGTAAATCAGATGAGATAAGATAACGTACCTCATGCCGTCGAAGCCATCGTCGGAGCCGTTTATGGTGAGGACCGGGGCACGTGCGTACGCCTTCGCGACGCGCCGATTCTTTTCAAAAACTATAACCTTTGCCCAGATCTCATCGTCGATCTGTGTCCATTTGTCTAGCACTTCCTGTATGTGTTCCTGTGGGCAAACGAAAAAAGTTTCGATAAAAACAATATTATTATTTATTTTGAACTATTGTCTATTTTTTTACTTTACAATGTCTGAAGTTTAGAATCGTGTGATGAAGTTTTAAACCACATCCTCAAACTAGGTTTAAACGACTTGAAAAAGTAAATAGGCGCTTGACAACAAGTTTGTTTCAATCATTTTCCTCGTGTTATCCAAAAGCTTTAATGTCTCATAGAACATACATCTTTAAATATTAACGACGTATAGAGTCACCTTTCTACAACAGCAGTAGCAGTTAAAACTAGCAAAAACACTTAACAACACCTGGTTGATCTAGATTATTTTTTGTTTTTTTGTTTGAGTAGGTACTCGACTATCCAGCTCCATTAGCTTGCCGCCTATAAGCGACCTTGTCAGGGTGTTTCTAAGTGTATGATTACCAAAGTTTGGGCATTTAATCCCCGTGGGGCAACCGTGGCGTAACCAGACGACACAGCGCCCGCGCAATGGTTCCGCTCTAGTAAACGCCGCGGTTTTGTCTGCCATATCTTGTAGATTCACGTATAATCTTGCTGGTCTAACAGTTACACTTTGAATATATACTAAAATTGTAAATGCCAAAGTAGCTATTACTGCTTGTGTTTCACTATTTCAAGTTTAAACAGCTGGACCATATTTTTTTGGGATTTGTTACAATATTAAAATAGACCTTCGATAAAAACATTTTGCTACGAAAAGTTATCTTGAAAGGGATATTGGGACAATATTGAAAAGTTTTAGAGGAAATTAGTGCAGTTCCCCACGTGAAATCAGTTATCTCATAGTCTTTGATGAAATGTTATCTTTCACTCTTAGTCCTATTCGCAGTTAGTAAAAGTCCTCCAAAGCACTATCCATATTGCTGAATCTAGACGATGGAGATACAGGATCTCTTTTAGGTGTATAGCGCTGTCTTGCATGCTGGATCCAGCAAGATAGTGCGTAGAACCCTTAAGCTTGACAAGGAGGTATTCTCCTTACCTCAATATACAATTTTAAAAATAGGTTCTCATGTCTCCCCAACCTAGTGGAGAAATCAATTACATAGAAATCTTGATGCCTACCTTAGGGGGGCCGTCAGGCGAGACAACGGTCCGAAGGGCAAGTAATAACATATTATGTTCAATGATAGGTCTCATTGAATTATAATTTTATTCTTTGACAACATCACCAACATAGCTTTGTACATTTGACCAGTTTCTGGGTAAAGGTGCAATGGTTTCACAAAAACAGTTTTATAAACAAACAATGTTTATACATGTAGTACTTATAAGCTCCGCATTCTTTGTGATTATTATTTGTTACGTGGAATTTTGGGCAGTCATCGGACCGCGTAAACGCAGCTATGTTTTTGCACATAATATACGTAACAATGAACCAGTAGCAATTTGCCTAAGAAGCTGGCTCGAAACAGACCGTTACTTTGGGCAAAAACATTTTGAAACCGACCGCCATCCATGCTAGCTCCAGCAATTAGGGTTGACGAAAATTTGTGTGCGTGTGGAAAATTATAACGGACCTGCACCTTAATATCAATTTATTTTGACGTTCAAATGGGAATGTTACGAAACACCATAAACAGTTTTTATTGTTGCTTTCGTAAATATGTACGAGATACCTAATGGTTAATTTATTAAGAACTAAGAACCGAGAGAACTAAGAAAAGAAATGTTTTTTTTGTAAAGTATTAATTTGCATCGAGCTGCTGGTCGTTCAGGATAAGGTTGAAGGCTGAAGGCACCCGAGCACGCGGAAGATAGCCAATAAAATGGACTAATCAAATTTAAGCGATTACAAATGATCGTCTGCACTTGTGTATAAAAAAGCAGCCTTGAGGGAGGTAAAGCGTCTTTTTGCGGCGGGTCACCGCTACTGAATCCGACGATGACACTGAAATAATGGCGATGACCGCTCTGCCAAGAGTGTAACGACAAAGAAGAGTATTAATTTATTGTTTACATAAATGTAATTCCTATCACTGCCATATCATATATTTTACCACGATTTTATTATAATGATATCAATTTGATATGTAATCTTTGTTATTTTATGTAATTGTTTTGATATCATTTTTGCAAAAAGAATACTCAAAATATATAATACTCTAACCCATTATTATAAATACCTCTATGGCGGATTGTCAATTGGCCTATTGTAATCAAGTTATGGAAGAGCGGTGCATCCTAACACAAGCAATTTTACTGCTTAAAAGGATGTACCGTACTCATACATTGTAGTAGGCTAAGTTACTGAAATAAAGTAATTTTCTATTTGATAAGTTGTTGCATAGAATGCTTTTTATAGTAAGTTAGTTTTCCTTAAGCCTTCTGCTTCAAAGATCCTCCTTTTCATTTTGTATAGAAAATGACAAGTATACACTGTTGTAATTTTTTTGGGTTTAAACAATTATGCCAGAGTTGATACCACTATCAAACTGAATCAGAACCAGCTTTTTTAAACGTGACTAAGTGATAAATTAATGGAACGGGGAACTCCGTGAAAACGGATACTTGCCTGAGCTATACATTAGTATTTATGTGAAACTATGGTCTGTTAAAACTATACTATTTGTATGTACTCTTTTTTCCCAGGTAAGTTCGACAACGGTTAAGATTTCGTATAGGAATTATATAAAACTTATTATTATCGCCGCCCTTATTTACTGTAGGAAAAACCATTAAAAATAAGTTTTTAATGCTGTAGTCCTTTTTAAGGTGAAGGCTATTTCTTGAGGTGGGAGTTCCAATTCTATGTACAAAATCCGCTTTACCCTTTGCAATATTCAAATTGACTTATCTTTTAAATCTTTCAATATTTTTTATGATGGAAAATGCAGATAAGGGGGATCTAACTATTGCATTGTAGCCGGGACGGGACCAATGGTGTAACTTAACGTGCCTTGCGGAGCACAAAGGAGGTCGAGAATATATTTATGGCCACCCATCCTGTAACCGTCCATCGTCCGCGAAAGTTGCTCTGCTTTTGCGACAGTAGACCAACCTTCAAATACAGTGTGGGATACATGTTGACCGTGCTTAACAAAATGCTAGCGTAGGCAAACTGATACAAGGCAAGTGTTACTGTCTAGACGTTGGTTAAGTTTAACCAAGACCAATGCAAGTGGCCTATATGGACGAGCTTTGTGGGGCTATCCATATTAATATACGTTGGTGCGCTATCAGTTATAATGGATCATCATCAGCCTATTAATGTCCCCTCGCTGGGGCCCAGGCTTTCCCTATAGATGGAATAGGGAGATTGGGCCATGATCTGCCACGCGGGCCTAGTGCGCATTAGCGGGTGCCAACGCCTGCAGATACAGCTAGGACCAACGGCTTAACATGCCTTCCGAAGCTCGGAAGAACTTGAGATAGAAGATTTTTTTGGTCACCCATCCAATGACCGACAAATGAATGCGTTTTCCACACGTGCTATCGAGCTCCTCCTCATTATTATGGATGATGTATGACAATTGGCGAGCAACAGCGAGTGCCGACCAATGTCGCCAAATGAGGTCTGTGCACGTTAGCACTTCTCTTTACTCGGCAAATAAAACATGTGACACCGAGCGATGACAAGGCAAGACCAATATCTTACGGGACTCGTGACCGTACCCTACGCTATCCGGATAAATGCACCTTTATGTTATCTGCCGAGTCAAATTTTCTCCAGTATTTCTTAGGCTGTAAGGCAGCGCCTGATGCGCGTGGTTTTTTTCTAGTAAGATATTCTTAAATAAAAGTAGTTTTTGCGGGTTATAGCACGAAACTTTATTTATTTATTGACGTTTCGTAGCCATTACAGGCTTCGTCGTCAGAATAAAACTTTTATTTTGACGACGAAGCCGGTAAAGGCTACGAAACGTCAATAAATAAATAAAGTTTCGTGCATTAACCCGTAAAAACTTTACGTACTTTTATTTAATAAGTGATGTGCGTGAAAACCTAAGAAACAAATAAGATATTCTTAAGATTTAAATATCTAACAGTTAAATGCTTAAAAAATATAACATTATTGTTATTATTATTATTGGTATTGACCTTCGCTTGACCGACATGTACAGGCTTAAAATATGCATTTAGGTTAGTTACTCTGAATAATGATAGTAGGCAACCCTACACTGTGTAGGTACCGAGTTCACTGATCGTTGCTAATGACGACATATTATCATTGCAAAGGTTTTATTTTCTGCTTTCCACGTCCGCAACATCGGTAAACGTTTCGACTCTCATTTTTGTACCACGAAAGTGAGAACGAGCTGTGTGATTACAGTTATTTCGTTGCAATTTAAGGAAAGATTCTTCGATGATAATCGACTTTCGGTTTCATTGTACGCGGTTTTTTGGTAATAGATTTACTTTCGTACGACTGTTATTTTATTAAAGAGCTAAAAATCAACCCGACAAAAAACTAATGGTAGAGATGATTGTTTAGTGATTTTGCGGTTTGGTTTTTTACCCGACTGTGCAATGCAAAGGCGCGAAGTGCGACGCGCAGACAGGCTATAGTGTTTAATAGTATATATATGTATGTATGTTCCTTTGTGACAAACTAGAGACCAAACGCGTGGACCGATTTTGATTCATTCTTGAATATCTAATGGGTCCCGACTGTTAAAGCAGCTTTTTTCCTTACCTTGCAGAATTATAGACTACTGGACTTGTTTTTTTCTTTTCAGTTTTTATTTGAAGTAAAGTTAAAGCAGTCGATTTTTATTTTTTTTTAATTTACCTTTTTGTAATATTGTTGCCAATTTTATCAATGTCGTGGGTCGGTTTAGAAGAGATTAATAGGTTTACTGTACTAACTATTGGCTGTTTAGATTTTCACATATGATCCTATTCCTAAATCTATTTAAGTTAATTATGTATTTTAAGTAATTCTACTGAAAGTAAAGGTAATTTTCTATGATAGATATACAAAATAGTTTGCCTGTTAATAAAAAACGAGTAGAAGTATTTTTTGGTGTG